CTTTTTTGAATGCTGAGTAATATTCCGTGGTATATATGTACCACATCTTCTTGATCCAGTCATCTATTTTTGGGCATTTGGGTTGTTTCCAAAGCTTAGCTATTGTAAACAGTGCTGCTATAAACATAGGGGTGCAGGTGTTCTTTGGAATCGATGTTTCTGTGTTCTTTGGGTAAATACCTAGGAGTGGGATTGCTGGGTCATATGGAAGCTCTATGTTTAGTAGGTCCAGAAATCTCCACACAGCTTTCCACAGTGGTTGGACCAGTTTGCACTCCCACCAACAGTGCAGAAGAGTTCCTTTTTCTCCACACCCTCGCCAACATTTGTTGTTGCTAGTTTTTTTAATATGTGCCATTCTCACTGGTGTAAGATGGTATCTCATGGTAGTTTTGATTTGCATTTCCCTGATGACAAGTGATGTTGAACATTTTTTCATATGCCTGTTGGCCATTTGCATTTCCTCTTCAGAGAAGTTTCTTTTAAGCTCTTCTGCCCATTTTTTGACTGGATTATTTTCTTTGTTGTTGTTGAGTCTCATCAGCTCTTTGCAGATTTTTGTGATCAGTCCTTTATCATTAGTGTTGGGTGCAAAAATGTTCTCCCAGTTGGTGGGGTTTCTCTTTTACAACACTATAGCTTTTACCTCCCAAATAGACATAGATTTGTCTAGACTGTACAGATAGATATGTATCCAGATTCACAAGGAAGGCCTTTTGTGAATCAATAATTGCTATCCTGTGTCATTTTTCTTACTGTCAAAATGCCATAGTAAAGTAAAAAAGGGTCCCAACTTGGTCTGCATAAACTGTTAGTTTTAGACTCTTTCCAATTTACACTGCAGAAAGTCTGAAATGGTCTAATCCATGTGCAGGTCACCAGGAAGAAATGGAAGACCTACTGTATGAATTTGGATAACAAGCTTGGGAGTGGAGAGGAAACAGAGTGAGACCAGATGGCGGACAAACACCAGGAGAGTTGACAGGAGTCGAAGGACATGACTCAGCTGCTAATCCAGCAGTCACATAAATATAACAGCCCCTGTGTGGAGAAGAGCGTGAGGCTGGTTGTACAGCTGTGAGCCATTTTGATTGTCAGTATGAGACTGCTCACATAGACCAGAGACAAGTGCACTCATCTGTGCACCATTTAATGTCACTAGAGAGAGGAGTATTGATATCTTACTTCCCCGTCATTGCTTCTCACTCGACTGCCACAGTCTCCTAACACAGTAAGTTCCTCTCCTCTCCTCTTCACCTTACACATGGTGTCAGAGTGATAGGTTTAAACAAAGTTATGTTGTCACTCTTCTAGTTGTTTTTTTTTAAGACCTCTCTTGGTCTCAACTGCTTCTTCTGCAAGTCTCTCAGAATGGGACATAACATATGATCTCAGCTCCCAAGGTGTTCCCTCCTCAAAGAAGAACTGCACTGCCATATTGATCATCCTTCCACCTCCACTTGACCATGTACCACCCACTCTTTTAACAGCATCCCAAACTGTCCCAACTGAGCAAGAAATAATCAACTTCTTCCTCTTTTCCTTTCTATTCCCAAGGTTCTTTAGGTGAACCCCTTAGCACAAACATAAAACATTAAGTTCTTACAAAGCATTTATTAAATACTAGCAATAGTGTTAAGTATTTGTCTCAGGAAGAGATCTCTAAGTTGGGGGAGGGAAACTTGTCAGAACCAAGAAAAAGGAGACTTAATCTAACAACTCACAAAACCCGAAGCATGATATAGAATCAGGGTTTCAAAAGGACTAGAAATCGATGAATTTTCCACCAGTTCTCTCTCTCTCACACACACACACAATCTTCTGGGCACTCTCTCTTTCTCCAACCACCCATGCTTTCTCTCTCTCTCTCTCTCTCTCTCTCTCTCTCTCTCTCTCTCTCTCTCTCTCTCTGATATTCACTCAATTAATACCTTTTTCTGGTTGCTGGCCACTACAACATCAAGAGTCCTCAAAATCTTTCTTCCCTCGGGCCTCCCAGGTGGCGCAGCAGATGAGCGCTGGGTTGCGAAGCTGCCTGCAGCCTCTGCAGCACCAGTTCGATCCCTGGCTGCTCCCCGGCCACCGGAGTAGGGTCCCACATGGAGCACAGACCTCTTCTGCCGCCCACTGCTCCCCTCAGCAGTGTACTTCGGTCCTTGTACTTGCTCTGCTCCCCGCTCTGGCTCTGGTGAATTCTCTCACCCTCCCGTGCTTCTGACTGTACCCAGGGCTTGTATAAATAAATAAAAATAAATCTTTAAAAAAAAAATCTTTCTTCCCTCCTTTCACTACAAAACCATATAAATGACTCAATTTCTATTTTGGAGTGTTAAGTGGATATTGCTTATGTGTGAAGATTAATATGTAGAAAAATTATTGTTTTTTAAAAAAGAGCAAAAGTAGTTTATCTGTATAAGGTAACACCCTGTTTAATCAAGTATAAAGACTTCATTGATCATGAGACACACCTCTATTTTAAGTATCATCAAGAAAGAAAAAAATGCTACCTGTTATTATCATTAAGAGGCTGTCAATTCTAAGACACAGACTTATGTTTAGAGATGTTAAAATGTAAAACAATGATTCTTGAAATATTACATATAGAAAATAAAGCATAAGCAGTCTTTGGATGCACCAAAGACTGTTTACACCATCTTCCAGGGAGAAGTCCAAAACATCCAATTTACTGTAAGACCCAAAAGGAGGCCCCAGCAGCGGGGACTCATACCCGAAACTTGCAGAAACCATCTTAACTCATCTCAAAGATGACATCAATGGCTGTGAGTCAGTAATTAGAAGGTTTTGGGGTCAGTCATATAGACTACCTAGATAACACCTACAAAGAGCTTGTCACAGCTATCTGATCCTGAAGCAGAAAAAAGATTTTTCACTATCTCCTCAATCCATGAAGCAACTCAGATCAGGAGTCCGAATGTTCAGTCAAAGGGTGGCCCTCCATCTCACCAACAGTGGCCATACCCCCTCTCCATTGCTTTCCCTCCCTGGGTGATTAAAGAGACAAGCCTAAGCAACAATGATGGCCCACCATCCTGGCCTCTGCTCCTTGCTTCAACTTTGGCCTAGACATGGGTTGTTGTCAAAGCCAGTCTTCAAACTGAGGACTAAGAGGACAGCATACGCAACTCTTCCCAGCACCCCACTGTCTCCTTCAAGTGCTTTTACTCTCCTCAGTATTGCTTGTAAAACCATTCTGTATGGTTGCAGGTACCTGTGGTGCATTCATATTCATGCCTATTGCCATTATGCCATGTGGATCACCACAAATTACTCACCTGTCCTATCAATGGCCATTTGGCTTTTTTTTTTTTTATTTTTTGCTCCTATATACAGGGGTTCTGCAAATTATATCTGCCTGCTGGAGCACAGAAGCAAATGTTTCTCTAGAGCATAAGCCTAGAAATGGAACTGCAGGGTCTTCAACTACATTCATATTCAGTTTCACAAGATAATGCCAGATTATTTACCCAAAACAGTAGTTCCAATTTACATTTCCATAGGAGATATATGAATTCCCATTAGTTTCAACTTTACCAAAAATGTGAAATTGTCAGACTTCTTAATTTTTGCCCATCTAGCAAAAATAACATGTAGTATATTTTTATAAAGTTCAAAAATAATACTAAATAAATTATTTAAGTGTATATACACTTGTAATAAAGCTGTATTTAAAGCAAAGAAATGATAAATATGAAGTTCAGGATAGTAAATCCTCTAAAAAGAGGCAAGGGAATGAGGATTATTATATTTATATATGTATATAAATATATAATAAATTGTATATAAGCAAAAGTATACCTATTGCTAATTATATGTTCTATATCTTTTATTTCAAATAATACATAATAAAATATTGTAATTATTTTATTCTCCATTCCCACAAAACTGACACAATGGCTACAGGCATCTCTGAAATTTTATTCTTACAACCTCATTGTAAGAAAAAAAAAATTTCTTCCCTTCTAGCTCCAGAGAGAAAAAAAATCTGAGGGTAGAATTCTGATTGGCCCAGATTAGACCATGTATCCATACCTGAACCAATCACTGTGGCCCAGGGTAATAAACACTATAATCAGCCAAGCTTATGTCCACCTCTCTGGCCAGAAGGATAGGCTGTTGCCATCAAGTATGGGATGAGTGAAGGAGTGTGAAAGGGCACAAAATTTCAAAAAACTTAAGAAATATCAATATCATCATCTTCTAATATCATGCAAATAATAGGAAGCAGAGCTGGGATTCAAAATCAGATCTGCATTAACCACTTCAATTCCAGCTTCTGACAGACTAAATACATTGTGAGTTGTCTCTAGTATTATATCAGATTTTTCTTAGAGACTGTGACCCCATCTAATTTATCTTTGTCCCTCCAACTCCTAGAAATACTACCTGGCACTTTTTAGGTGTTTTGTGGAATTCATTAAATCTCCAAACTACAGATTGCTTATTTGAACATATTCTTATATCAACATGGATGTGACCATTTCTGGCACCAGCTGTGTGGGTCTACTGTTCAGAAGAGAACAGATGGGAATTTGAAGAGTAGGAGGGGATGGAACATTTTAATTTCAAGAACATTTTAGCACCACAAAAATCAAAAGGGAAATAGAAATACTAGAAATTTTATACTCAAAGCAAAGTTGCATGATGATCAAAAGTGGACATAAACAAGGAGTAGCTAGCATGTATTATTCTTACTAAGGAAATAATGACCATCCTGATCTGTTATTTCTATTACATTTCTTGATAAACTCTTTGAAAGAAAAAGTGGGTTTGAATATAGCCAAAAGGAAACCATTTCTTTGACTATACCATTACAACTGTTATAACAAAAAATGTGTTCATGGGACAACTTACAAATTTAAAATTAAGAATCACAGCCTAAATACATGTTTTAAGTCTCTTGGCAAAAATTACCAGTTTTTTGTCTCTTTCCACTTTTCTCAGCTGAAAGGTGAAGGTATTGTTCAAGAAATTATCTTTACCTTCCTTTATTTTCATTTGGATCATGTTGGTTTCCGTCTTTTTTTCTTCCATAAAATTACATCTTTTCCTGGTACTTGTCTTTTACGTTCCTTTGTGAAGCCTAAAATAAAACAAACAAGCATAAAATCATTTCTTTGTTAAGTACAATCACATTTCTCACTACTCATTTTGTCTGGCTTTGGAATGTTTCTGGTCTCCTCTGGACTCTGGCTCTACATATTTAAACCTTTTATCTTCATTTTATTCTTCTAACCCTTTTGTTCTCCTTTCTTTGTTTCACAAAAGATACTTCATTTTAAATGACTCACCATTGTATCATTTCTCTGGCTTACACAGCCATTAAGTTGAATATCGTCAATTAATTTAGAGTTGTGTTCTGCTGTCTTGGTCCAGGCTGCTTCTAATTTTGCTGAAAGATCTGTATGTGGCTGCAATTAATTTATTTTTAAACATTCTTTCTTTCCTTCTGTCCCCTTTTCTGCATTATCCAATCTGATATCCACCAGAGCATTATACTCTGATGCAAATTTTGCCCCATTTGAAATTTCAACTTTTTCTTTTTTCCATCTTATTAGACTCATTTTGTTTCTAATTACAATCCAGCTACCCACAGGCTTGTTTCACCAGAGGCCATAACACTGGTGTTTATTCAGGTGATTCTGAAGTGAGTTTTAGCCTGCATTTACTAGGAAAAAGGAAAAGGGAGGGATTGAGAAATTGAAAATAATCATCATTTCAGTCTTGAATCCAAATATTCCCTATTGGTTTTGTGCACTCCTGAGATCTTCTGGGCTCTTTTCATACTACCTTTGCTTAGCTTATATTGACTGGTACAGAGTAAACTCAAAATAGGAGTAGATGACCACAGAACTCTGAGTCAAAGCTTCTGGTCCCTTACCTAATTGTTTTCCTTTACCTTTATTTAGTAAATATTAGTTCCAAATCTACCCTTTCTTTGAGCAAAAGAAAGAAGTCCCCTTTGACTTACTTCTTCTATCTAGTTGATATAAGCAAAGGAGTGTACAATCTAGCTGGGTCATCGCAAATTTTGCCAGATGGCATTATATTCTTGTTCTAGGTGCAAGGTCTTCTTAAGCATATTAAACTCATGGAAAGCTATGGTGCAGAGAGCAGAGGTGGTATATGCAATTAGTTAAATTTCTAAGCTACAGACTGCTTATTGGAATGTATTCTTACATCAACAGGGATATGACCATGGCTTAGACCAATTGTATGGTATGGTGCTCACAAGAAAACAGATGGAGATGAGTGCCCATCCCATAGAATATCAGGAGGGGCCTTGGATAGAGCCCACATCTGTCAGGATCCTCCCGGGCACCCATCAGAGATTCACATGACTGTACCCATGGGTAAAATGACTGTGCCTCCCAAATGAGATGTGTGGACTCAATTATGAAGAACTGAAGAGTTATGTCTCTACACTAATTATAATGCAGTGCAATACATTCTCTGCTTCACGTATCAGACTAATAACAAATTTGAAATTAAAATCTCAAAAAAAACAGTTTTTTCCTGCCTTTGGAGACATATGAATGTCAAAGAAGAAGCAAAAAACTTGACATCTCAGAGAAGTAGGGTCCTAACTCAAGAACTCTGCTATATGGTTCTGATGGACCGGGAGAGCCCGTGTGCCTGTCTCAGTGGACATCAGACTTCAAGGGAGGATCAATTAGGCTGTTGCACACAAAGTCTGTCTTCTAGTCACAAGTTTCCACTGTCACATCTACTGTGACTCACTGACCCAAGTCTGGAAATCCCAGATACAGAACCAAATCACAGAGCTATAAATATGGCCCCAAGTCTTTTCCAGGCAAAGATAGAGCTTCCTGTTGGTTAGAGCAGCTGTAAATGAGGCCAAAGCTTAAGCAACACATGAGCCAATTTCCAGCAGGGGAAAATTTCTACTCCAAAGTCAAAGACTAAACCTACAAGCCTAGCCAAACATTTTGTACCTACAAACAAAATAAAGTCAGTGAATTTTCTGTTCAATTTTCAACTGTGTTAGAAGGGTGCCGTCACTTTAAATTCTGGGTCAGAAGCATACTCTAAAGAAGTTGGCAGCTGGAACAAAGTAGCCAGGGGCTAGCAATAAAGTACAAGATGGAAAAAGATTCCTTCTGAGAAAGCAGAAAAATTATAAGTAACAAAATCAGAAAAGCCTCCTAAGATTAGAACAAGTCAGACACAGGCATATTCAAGTCTCTATGTTCTATAGATGCAAAGGAAAATGAATGTGCTTTCCACAGCTTCTAAATTCAGGGACGAGAAGCTGAATTACAGATATTTCAAAGGCACTGGCTAGAGGTGATGCTAAATATGGTAGAAGAAGCTGAATCTCATCTCTTATCGCTGAAAATCATCTCTTTCGAAACAAGTTCACAACGTCCTCACACTGACTAAGAAGGTGGGATACATGAGAGAGTTTACCAGTGAGTTGAGACCAAGATAAGGTGGAAGGCATTAAGAATAAAAACTTATCTCATTCACTGCTGATGGCAGTGCAAGCTGGTATATTTCTGGAGAACAATTTGACAACATCATTATCAAAATCCTTCAAAATACATATTACCTTGGAATTAATAACCAACTTCCAGGCATCTACCCAGAGACTATAACAAAGGCAGAGAAATATGCATGTCACAGAATTATTTATAACGGTGAAAAATTAGACATCTAAATATACAACAGGAGGAACCATACTACAGAAAATTATGCAACTATTTAAATTATACTTGTAAGATTAGTAGTATTAAGTACATGCTCATAATATGTTTATTGGAAAAAAGAGATGCAAAATAACATAATTAGAATGATCTTAGGTTTATTTATCTTGCTTTTGGGAAGGAAATGCACTACTAATAGTGATCACTGCTCAATTATGGAATCAGAGTTCATATTACCAAATTTTCTACAGCAAGTCAGTGTGACTTTTACAATCACCAAGTAATTTTTAAAGAAAATTTTAGCTTATGCCATGGTATTGGGGAGAGGAGGAAGAAGAATAGCTAATTTTTAGGGGCAGGGAAAGGCCTGAAAGGAAATACTTAAAACATTAATTTCTGTTATTTAGAATAGTAGGTTGCTACTATTTTTTTGCTCTCAACTTTTTGCTATTTTCCTGTATTTCTTAAAAGAAATATATCTCTTTTATACTGAATGAAAAATTTTTAAGGGAAAAAAAAGAAGGAAATACGAACATACTGGAGATTGTAATAAAGAATAACTAAGCACCTAAAAAGTACATAAGACACTTCTTTCTCCTTGGTTTTTTTATCAAAAGCTATAATATAGGGTGTTGCCCCCACATCTGTATACCAATAAAGAATGAAAAAGTTACCACATTTTAAGTTTACATTTATTAAGGTAACGTTGATTAGCAACAAGATATGTTTTAGATGTATGGATTCCACCACTACAAATGTATGTTACCACACCACAGCCACCAAAACCCCTAATCTTCCACCTGAGTCCATTGGGCCCCCTCCCTCCTTTACAAAGTTCTGTTTTTTTAAATTAATTTGTCAGTCATTTACATATCCATACAACTTTGGGGGTACATTTTCACACTTCCATATGTGTACATTCTGTACTGACCCTCCACCAAAACTCCCAGACAATGTCCTTTCTTCTCCTTTGCCCTCTCCCCTGGCCCCAATCCTTCTTGTAACCAGTATGTTTCCAGAGACCAAGAATAATTTTTGCTGTGCTTTGCAAGTATGTGTTCTTTGGTTATTTATATTCCACAAATAAGTAAAACTACTCAGTATTTGTCTTTCACTTTCTGACTTATTTCACTTAGCATAATCACTTCAAGAGCCATTCATTTTGTCCTAAAAGGCACAATTTCATCTTTTTTTACAGTTGAATAATATTCCAGTGAGCATATATTCCACAATTTCTTTGTCCAGTTATCTGTCACTGGTCACTTAGGTTGGTTCCATGATTTAGCTACTGTGGATAATGCCACTATGAAAATAATAGATTTTTCATGTTTTTTGGGTAAATACATAGAAGAGGTATTGCTGGATCATATGGGATTTCCTTTTTTTTTTCTCAAGGTATCTGTATATCGTTTTCCAAAGAGGCTGCACTAGATTACATTCCCACCAACAGTGGATGAGTATGCCTTTTTCTCCACATCCTTGCCAATATTTGTTATTTCCTTTCTTATTGATATAGGCCATTTTCAGAGGGATAAGGTGATATCTCATTATGATTTTGATTTGCATTTTCCTTATATAAGTGATGTTGAACAATTTTTTCATGAGCCAGTAGGCTACCTGAATATGTTCATTGGAGCGGTGTCTATTTATGTCTTCAGCCCACTTTTTGATTGGGTTGTCTGCATTTATGTTGTTGTTGTTGTTATTGTTGTTGTTGTTGTTGTTGTATAAACACTTTATATATTTTTTAAATTAATCCCTTGTCAGATGTGAGATTGACAAATATATTCTCCCAGTATTTTGTCTTTTTGGCTTGGATGATTTCTTGGAGCTACAAAAGCTGTTTAGTTTCATGTAGTCCCACTTGTTTACATTTGCTTTTGTTTTCTCTTGGGGTTTGGGTTGTGTCCCCAAATATATCTCTACAGTTAATGTTCAATAGTATATCGCCTTTTAATTTTTTTTTTTGGCTGCAGGTCTTATATTCAAGCCTAATTCATTTTTAATTGATCTTTGCATATGGAGTTAAGTATGGTTCTAATATCTTTTTTTATATGTGACTGTCCATGTTTCCCAACACCACTTGTTAAACAGACTTTCCTTTCTCCACTGTCAATCATGGCTTCGTTGTAAAAGATTAACTCTTTATGTTTGTATGGGCTTATTTTGGGCCTCACTATTCTTTTCTGTTGGCATGTGCTTCTATTTTTGTTCCAATACCATATTATTTTGATTACTGTAGATGCACCATATAGTTTGAAGTCAGGCAGCATTTTACTTCTTTTCTCTCAGGACTGCTTTGACTATTCAGGGTTCATACAAATTTTATAATTGCTTGTTCTATTTCCTTGAAAAAAGTCATTGGGATTTTGATAGGTATTATGTTGAACCTATTAATTGCTTTAATATGGTCATT